AGTATGGGCCAAATATATCAATTTCCCAACTAGCCGTTGATATTGTCCTTTATCAACTGGAGGACTCTCCTCTTCATAACCCGTCTAGATACTGCTCAATAGGAGTATTAGAGGGTTTACACCCGAGCTTTCCTGCTTCTTGAGAAATTAGAGAACATATTCCTCTAGCTGATAAAGATTCCTTTGCTCGAATGAGCTACTTCTATCCCTTAGGAAATATCTCAGAGTCCAAGGTCTTTGACTTCGAAACTCAGAGGCAAGCCGTGTTGCAGAGTCTCTACTCCACAAAATCATCATCTGTGATAATAATATCATCAACATATACAAGGAGCACAGTAAGCTTCCCATTTTGGGAGTGCTTGAAAAAAAGAGTGTGATCTCCTTGACTTTGTTTATATCCTAAGGTCATCATAACCTTAGTAAACTTTCCAAACCAGGCACGAGGTGACTGCTCCAATCCATACAAGGCCTTTTTTAATTTACAAACTTTATTTTCTCCCTTCACAGAATCAAAACCAGGCGGAATTTCCATGTAGACTTCTTCTTCTAACTCACCATTGAGGAAAGCATTCTTCACATCAAATTGGTTTATATCCCAATTGTAATGGGCAGCAAGGGATAACAAAACTCTCACCGTATTCATCTTTGCAACTGGAGCAAATGTTTCTTCATAATCAATGCCATAGGTTTGAGAGTAACCTTTGGCAACTAATCGAGCTTTGTATCTCTCAAGAGTTCCATCAGAATTATATTTCAGGGCATAAACCCATCTGCACCCTACTGCTTTCTTTCCAGTAGGTCTATCAATAACCTCCCATGTTTTATTTTTCTCCAATGCATTCATCTCCTCTTGCATGGCTTGAGCCCAATTCCTATCTTTCAAGGCTTCATGTACTGATTTTGGGATTACAATATAGTCTAGTGCTGAAACAAAGCTTTTGTGCTGCACAGAAAGATTAGCAGAGAAAACAAACTGGGAGATAGGGTATTGAGTACAAGAGGGACATGAGGACAAGATTTCTTGGGACAAGCTCTTTTTCCTTTTCTAAGAGCAATGGGTAAATCATCAGAATCAGTAGTAATGGGTAAGTCATCAGAAGTATTAACATCATGATCAGAAATATGAGATTCAGGACTTACCAGTGGTTCAGACGATTGAGGTTGCTGCTGAGACAATGTGGGTTGTTTCCTTCTTTCAGGTGTCATAATCTTTCGTATCTCTGGTGTACTTGATGTATCAATCACAGGAGAATCAGTCACAGGAGGATTACTCACAAAAGGATCAGACACAGGAGGAACAGACAAAGGAGAAACAGACACAGGAGGAACAGGACCAGGTGGAGGATACACTGACATAGGTAAAGGAGTAGACACTGATGATTCAAACTCAAAGAAGGGAGGTGATGAGAATTCTGGTGAAGGATTCTCCCCCTGAAGATGAGGACCTTGGAAAAAGGACTCAGATTCCTGAAATGTAACATCCATAGAAACAAAAAATTTCCTACTACTAGGTTGATAGCACTTGTAGCCCTTCTTATCAGGAACATAACCAAGAAAAACACATTTAATAGCCCTAGGGTCCAACTTACTACGATGATGTTTATGAACATGAACAAAAGCAACACACCCAAACACTCGTGGAGGAAGACTCATCATAGTTGGAATAGAAGGGGAAAAAGAAGTCATAGAGTGAATAGGACTTACATGGTCAAGTACCCAAGTGGGTAAACGGTTGATCAAGAATGCTGCAGTAAGAATAGCATCTCCCCAATAGTATTTGGGTACATGTGTCTGAAACATTAATGCACGAGCCACTTCAAGAAGGTGACGATTTTTTCTTTCAGCAACCCCATTCTGTTGGGGGTGTCAACATAAGTAAGTTCATGAATCATACCGTTATTTCTTATAAATTGGGAAAAACTATGATTAACATATTCAGTACCATTATCTGTTCTTAGTCTCTTGAGTTTTTTTACCAAACTGGGTCTCAATCATTTTATAAAATTAAAAGAACAGTTGTGGTACCTCAGACTTTTCACGCATTAAGTACACCCAAGTTACACGAGTGCAATCATCAATAAAAGAAACAAACCATCTATTTCCAGAACCACGAGGGACTTTAGAGGGACCCCAAACATCAGAATGAATAAGATCAAAAGGTTCAACACTCTTAGTAATACTAGAAGGAAAAGACACACGATGATGCTTAGCAAATTCACAAACATCACAATGAAAAGACTCAACAGATTTAGACAAAAACAATGACGGAAATAAAGATTTGAGTAAACTAAATGGAGGATGACCTAAGCGCTTATGATGAAGCCAAATCAAAGAATCAGCAGTTGATTGACCATGAGACATCAAGATGTGATTTGTTACTTTATTTGCAGGAGATTGTGACACCAGATAGTACAACCCACCTTGCTCTTTAGCACTACCAATCGTCTTCCCCGTGGCGAGATCCTGAAAAACACAATGGGTAGGATAGAAGGTTACAGTACAATTCAAATCTTTTGTAATTTTATGAATAGAAAGAAGATTCGTGGAGAGTTTAGGAACATGAAGAACATCCTTAAGATGTAAGGACTGCTGTAAGTTTATGTCACCAGATCCCGCAACTGATGTATGAGAGCCATCAGCTACGGCTATTGTATGAGTTCCAATGGTAGGATGATAAGAGGTAAAGGAGTCAGCACAACAAGCCATATGATCAGTAGCACCAGAATCAACAACCCAAGAATGTTTAAAATCATTACATGAAGAAAGGAAAGAATAAGTTTTGGAGCTCATATCAGTCATAGTCAAAGCACTAGTATCAGATGGCTTACTCATAGAATCAAGAATGGTTCGGAGCCGTTCCAACTCATCTGGAAGAAATGCAGGTTGGGTCTTATTAGGTGTAGGAGTTATTTTAGAGGAAGTAAAATGCGCTTGACCACGCAACTTTGCCATCTTTTCTAAGACAGATTGCTTTCCATAAAGGCGAAAGCATAAATCCTTGATATGACCTGTTCTTTTACAATAAGAACATCATCGATCATCTCTCTTAGGTCTAGAAGAGGTACCATCATAAAATTTTGAAAAAGAACTCCTTTTAGAAGAGGCCATACTGCACAGAAAATGGTCAAAGAAAAGCTCCAAGAAGCCAAAAAATCACAAATAAATACCAAACGATGTCCGATCAAAGAGAGGAGCACAGATCCAGAAAGAGGATGAAGAGACGATCAAGATCGCGGTGGTCCGATCCGGAAAAATGATCTCACGCGTCGCCACGCGCCGGTGAGATTGGCTGCGCGTGGGCTTCACTCGCGGTTGAAGGGGCGACGCGTGTGGGCGCGTGCGGTGGCCGTCCGGTCTGAAATTTCTGGAGGAACGTCGTCCGGTGAGCGCGGTTCTTTCTGGGTCTGTTCGGAGTTGAAAAACCACCGGGAAAAGGTCCAATTGTGGTGAACAGATGCTGTCTTGTGATGAAGAATAATGGAGACGATGAACAGTAACAGAGATCCAGTATAACAGAGATCTTCTCGGTCCAAGAGGTCCCCGGAAAAAAAATCCGGTGGCGGCTGATGGCAGCGAGAGACAAAAAGAATAAAATGTTCTTGTTCTAAAGACAATAGGCGCGGAAGCAGAGCCCTCAGGATCGAGAGCTCTGATACCAACTTGAAATAAAAGGGTATTTGAAATATTATTGAATCGTATTTGAATCTGTACATAGGGATCTCTATTCATAGAGACTTCTTGACCTAATGGGCTTGGCCCAATATACAAGTAACAGACTAAATAAATACAAATAAATGACTACATAATTACTAATAAATGACTACATAATTACTATTTACAACATGTGTCCACCTACCTCTCATTGGAACCAACGTTTTTCTATCCAGCATGCATGAATTCGATATGCGATCAAGATGATAAAATGAACGAAAGCATCGAAAAACACAGGATTATATGTTTGAGCAAAGCTCAAGTATTATAAATTGGTGTGGTGGGAGAGTGATGATGACTGACCATGACAGCTAAGGGTGAAGCATACATCATAATGTTGAAGAGAATGCATGTGGTTCCAACAATGGAAGAGCGTTCCTTGACGGTGTGGGCCATAGTTAATGTAATAACGGTGAGAGCTGCGATGAAAATGAGTTCCACAACGAGCCAGAGGAGGATCTTGAGCCTCTTGCTGCGGTGAGAGTAGATCAAGAAAAGGGTCACATAGATGATCTCAATGACGCACCCTGAGCCATTGATGGTTACCACCAGCAGGCTGTGTGGGTGCACAATGGGTAGACCATAAAGGGTCCAAACCATGCAGTTCACGAGCGTCGCTAGGTATGGTGCTGCTGAGTACTGCTCCACTGATCCTTTCTTGCATATTCCAATAAAAGTTGGCCTGCATGTCTCAATTCAAATAAGACATGCACATAGGACAAACAATTGCCGTTTTTGTATGAATGCTTTAATTAGGTCAAAACTCTTTGGTTGATTTCCATTTTACTTGATTGAGGTTAGGTATAAACCCAAAAGCAAAAAAATATAGTCCATCGAATTTGTAAATCTAATGAGACTCATTTAAGCCATTAAAGTTGGTATAGTAACAAGGGATTTGAATAATTTACATTAAGTTATGGGTTCAATTTTTATCATTATATTAAAAAAATGACACCCATCTCACCTGTTTTGTATTAAAGAATAATAAAATAAGTTGACTAAATTGTACCAATTTTAGAGATAGTTTCTCATTTATTCCATGGTATAACTCTCTCTACATGATTTATCTAAAAATCAAACACGTATCTTTATTCTAAGAGACACAACTTATTTTCCGTGCGCCACATGTACAAGTCTTTCAACCTAAAGAATGTCCTTAAGCTTGTGGAGTGAGGTATTGCAGAGGAGATATTTTTTTTATCGAAAAAAAAGATTTTTGAAAATATGATGAAATTTTTTTTATCCAGATAAGTTATGAAAAAGTGTTTGGTAGATCTAATTTTTTTCCAGAAATGTTAAGTTAAGTCTACTGTAACAAACAAAAATATATACCATGTATCAGATGATATTTTTGTTTGCGAATATCATGTGTAAAATAGAATGAGTGTTTGCGAATATCATGTGTAAAATAAAATGATGAAAAAAAAAATTGATGAGATTATTTTCAATTTCCACATACCAAACATTGAAAACACATTTAACCCATCCCATTTTTCCATAATTTCAAGGAAAATTCCCATACCAAATATCCCCTTACCGATAAGTAAGTGAAGTAAATGAAGAGCAAGAAATTAAAATAACAAAAAAAAAAGCATCATCATAAGCCATTAAAAGTGATAAATTATATATTTTGTAAGATATTTTAAATTTAAATTTTACTGCTTTAAAACAATCCTTCATTTTAGATTTTATAGACAACTATAGAGATGTCATTTTTATTTATTTATTTTTTATTTTTTAAATAAAGAGGGGCTAAGCCCCAGAGATGTCATTTTAAAAGGCTATCATAAGGGTGTTTCATTTTATATATATAGAGAGAGATACAAAACACACACATATCCTTTGTATGCTTGGAAATCAAGATATATATATATATATATATATATATATATATATATATATATATATTAATAAAATCGTCGCCTCACTCGGCTGAAAGGGGGGGAAATGTGACGAGAGACATATTAAGCTTACAGTGGGGACAAGAACATGAAGGCCGAGATGATGTTTCCTGAAGTTAAGAAAATTGTGGAGACAGATATCGATAAGAGTGAAAAATAAGGAAAATAAAATATAAACATAGACAGAGAGTTTAGAAAGTAATTTGAGCCACCTATGATGCCGACTACTGTTCGAGCAATATCTGCTGCACTCATCGTTCTAACGTTACCTTAATTAAGTTGAGAAATCAAAGCAGAATAAGCAGTGAATGGGTGAACTGATATCAACACGAGAGAGAGAGAGAGAGAGAGAGAGATTTTGTAATTGAAATATAAATGAATGAAGTGTGAGTAAGAGGACTCGGGGAATAAGAGTTCGATTTTATAAATGAAGCTAAATGCAGTTTGGTCGTATCCGAATCTGGTTGATCATCTGCATGACATGTATTGTATTGGTTTGTGTGACTCGCACCTACACCTTTAAATATCATGCTTCTTAAATAGAGCAAACTAGATACAGATATATAGAGAAAGAAAACCAAAGATAAGGTGTGTTTGGATTTATTTATTTTTTCTCTCAAATTTGTTCTATACTATGAATATTGAAAGAAAAAAATTCTTGTTTAAATATATTTAGATCGTTGAAAAGATAAGTTACGTTTTCTATTTTTAATTTTATAAATTAAAATCAATTATTATATTAAAATTTTAAAACCATTAAAGGCCTATCATTTGTAACTGAATTTTTTTTAGTTAAATTGATTATAACATAAATCTTATTAAATAATTTTTTCAGTTTTTTCGAAGATTAAAAATCATTTAAAAAAATAAAATAAACGGGGCACAGTTTTCTCATTGATGTGTCCCGGTCGGTAGTAAGATGCTAACTTGCTTAGCTAGGTTAATGGCTCAGAAAGCGACTAAATTCCTCACGGACACAGCCAAAACAAAAGATTAAATTTGGGGACAACGACCATTTGCCACATTTAGGTAAATTATATATCAAAATATCAGACGCCATAAATAATTTTGCGATATGTGACATGTCATTGTCACGGTCATAAACCCACCTCTTTTTTTGGTGATACATACACACACCTTTGCGATAATTGAAAAATATTTTAGTAAACATTTTTCTTTAGTTCGTGCATGCCTTATGGTATTGTTATCCCCCAGGTTTACTTCGTCATCCATTGTTTTATGGGAATTGGTTTTTAGATTGAGTTTATGAAATATTTAATTATTGTTTATTATATTTAATAAATTTTAAAATATTTGTTTTAAATCCGAAACAAATCTTAATAAATAGTTGAATTAATTAAGATTTTTAGAACTTTTTGAATTATAAATACTTTAAAAGAAATAAGAGTTCTCGTCTTATTAAATACAGTTAGTGTGTTTAGATTAATTACATCATGGAACCTGCGAGTTTGATTTGGGGAAACTGTAGGGAAGTCAAGCAATACCACTATCAACAGTGTTTGTGAGGCATTTGATGGGTCCCATTAACTGAATCTAAATTTAATATCTATGATGTGGCGAGTGGAGATATAGGTCGAGCGTGTTTAGAGCGAACGGTGAGATTCATGAATTATCTCTGTTGATGATTTCATGCCAGACAATGACTTCTCATTCCACCTATAAATAGAAATTTATTTTGGACTATGCCACCTAAAAGCACAAATTTATTTACGTTCCACTAACTTAAGTGATTGATTCTGCGCAAGTGCATGTGGTTGTCTGCCATATGCCAATGGTTTGAAGAAAATTGCGAGTTTCTTAAGCGGATCTTCCAACATTATTTTTGTAAGTATAATTTGGGGTATTTTGAGCTGACTAATCCTTTCGAACTGTAGAAATTATTAAAGTTAATTTTGTTTTTATTAACAAAGTGTTTTTCATATATACTATCAGGAATCAAACTTCTGTAAACGTGTTTAAAGTACTCAACTATTTATGATTTATCCATTGAGCCGGCCTTTATTGGTTAACAATTTTTTTTTATCTTTGATCATTTCTAAAAATAACTTCCAACATACGGTATATTACCCTATATTACCAAAAAATATGGCACTTTGGTCTTTGTGCTGTCATCTTGATATCAGTTCACTGAATCTCTCCCTCTGCTTTGATTTTTCTTAAGACTTCAGGTTTGAACCATGACTGTAGCAGATATTGCTCGAACATTAGTCGGCATTCTAAGTGGTTCAAATTACTTTCTAAACTTTGTGTCTATGTTTTATATATTATTTTCCTTATTTTCACTCTTGTTGATGATATCTGTCTCCACAATCTTCTGTGAAACTATGACTCCTTAAGTAATCAATCACGCCAAACTTTAGCCCTTAAGTAATTAAACATGCCCCTTTTATTTTTAACGGTCTCAATTAATTGGGAAGTAATAAACACACTAACCATTAATAAATTATTATTGTCATTATAAAAATGGAATGAGCATTAACTATAGATAATAGAAAGAGGCAGCCACGTGACTACAATGAAAAGTTTGCGAGTCGCTATTATGTGCTAAACTTTTCACGTGTGTCAAACTATTCCATTTTAGTAAGATGTTATTTTATATTTTTTTAGCATTCTTCTTAAGTTCTTTTCCTTAATATTATATTATATTTAATATTGTACAAGAAAAATAAAAAACCTTAAAAAAATATAATCTCATAAAATTAATTTAGAATATAATATTATTTTTTTAGAAAAAAATTGGCTTACTTTCAAAAAATAAAATGTATTTGTCATTTTTTAATGTCTGTCATTTTAAATAAAACTATTGTATTTTGGTGGTTTTTTAATTTCTTTCTCATCCACAATACTCTTATTTTTTTTCTCCTCCTAATTTTGTTAAGAAGAGAATATAAAAAATTACTAAATATGAACAAAAGAAAAATAATTTCACTTAAAATGATATAAATTTGTATTCTTTAAAATGATAAATATATTTTCTTTTTAAAAAATAAGTAAATCAAACTAAGTGAACACGTTGGACACGAAAGAAAAGAGTTAATTCAGTTACTCAACTAGATACTATTTTTTGGGAAAGTTTTAAAAAGAGTAAATACTCCTTTTCGTCCCCGGCAATTTTCACGAGGCAAATTTTAGTCCCGAACAAGAAAAATGCTCATTTTAGTCCCTAATATTTGAAAAAGGGGCCACGTTTGTCCTTCCGTTAGTTGGCATCTGACGGCCCAACTAACGGAGCACAGGTGGACCGTTACTTTGCTGAGTCACCATTAAGCATGCCAGCGTGGAAGTAATACGATGTCGTTTTATGTCTTCTTGGAGTTTTGGACAGCTGACCTTAGCATCGAAGGTCCTATTTGGTCCCTGACAAATTTATCGAGGCCCTATTTGGTCCTTAACACTAAAAAAATAGACATGAACATAGAAGTTGCAAGGCATATTGCAGCAAACCACAAACCTTTCAAACCCAATCCAATGGCCCTATTGCAGCTCATGGTTAATTAGTTTGTTCTTAGAGTTATTTAGTATACTTATTAAATAATGACCCTTATTTAGTATACTTATTCCAGTAAGAGGGGAAGAAACAACTATGTCCTCTGAAACTGGTGAAGTGAGATATCTACAGATCATAGAGGAGAAGGACAAGATCTTAGATGAGCTCCAGAAAGAGGTCCTTTGGCTGGAACAAGAATCATTTAGAAGAGAATTTGAAAGTACTGGGATTGCAAAAAGCAATTTGGAAAGAACCAATGAACTTGAAGAGAATCCTATGCAGTTTATAAAGGGGAAAAACATGAGAATAGATGAACTCATGCAGCAGGTGACTTCAATGGAACAACAGTTGACTAGCTCCTTGACCCCTTTTTCTTCACATATTGCTGAGAAAAGGCTGAAATCAATCATATCCAAGAAGCTTGTGATACGATTACAGCAGCTGAGGTTCTAGCTGCACTTGAAATAGAAGAGAAGAAGTTGATGATAGTGGAACTTGATAATTATATCCATGTATAGAACAAAAACTGAAATTGCAGGAGGAAAACAGATGCCAGCCAAAACACCTTGCATTGGATATTGAAGCAGAAATGGATGCAAAACAGTTAAAAATAAAGGAGTTGACTGATCAAATGGAGAATAAGCTCAGAGGCTCATATATTTTGCTTCAAAACCTCAAGATGGAGAATAGAAATTTGCTTGAAAATGCTACAAGATTGTCATCAGAAAGGGGCAACTTGTTGGGTTTTGTTCTGGGATTGGGTGATAAAATGTGTGAGTGCACTACTGCAGACACTCAACTAATGGATATATTCACAAGCATAGTGCAGTCTTTAGAGAATGATTATTTAGGAATGAATTTTAAAAAGGATGATGAATTGCTTGTAAAAGAGAATATGATATTGCATTCTCCCACAGGGGTAAAGAAACCTGGAACCTTTTCTGATATAAGGTCGCCATTTAAGGAGCTCAACAGTTAGTTGCAATAGGGAAAATATTTGATAGATAGATGGGATGTGTATATCTTAGATTTTCAGCAAAAAAACTCATGCAGCTTGAAGCATGAACATTTCCTTAGATTGTATATGCAATTCGTTTGTTTTAGCTTGTATATTCATTCTTGTTGAGCTTAATAATAGCTTTTGATATGTGCACACAAACCTAAACTTGTATTTACAAATAATAATAATAACTCCTTTAGAAACTTCATTCTGATTTCATAACTTATAAAAGTTCGGGGCTTGAAGGATGAAGCTGTAAATAATGGATTGGTAATTGTTGATGGGAATGGTGTTGCTCAAGGTGGAGAGGGCCATTGGATTGGGTTTGAAAGGTTTGTGGTTTGCTGCAATATGTCTTGCAACTTTTATGTTCATGTCCATTTTTTTAGTGTTAAGGATCAAATAGAGCCTCGATAAATTTGTCAGGGACCAAATAGGGCCTTCGATGCTAAGGTCAGCTGTCCAAAACTCCAAGAAGACATAAAACGACGTCGTATTACTTCCACGCTGGCATACTTAACGATTACTCAGCAAAGTAACAGTCCATGTGTGCTCCGTTAGTTGGGCCGTCAGATGCCAACTACGGAAGGACAAACGTGGCCCTTTTTTTCAAATATTAGAGACTAAAATGAGCCTTTTTTATTGTTCGGGACTAAAATGTGCCTCGTGAAAATTGCCAGAGACGAAAATGGGTACTTAATCTAATATAAACTTAGAGGAGAGATATTCTAACTATTAAAAATTTTCACT